AGCCATCTGGTGACAGTAAATTGGATCATCTGTCATGCAGTTGCCATGTGTAATGTTGAGCTGAGCAGTATTGCCTGCTGTCTGGTTTTGATCTCTTTTCAACTGCTAAGGGATTTATCAGTCATCATTGTATTCCTTGCCTTATTGCCACCAACCTTTTTTACAGCTGCACCTCCTGTCATTTGGAAGTGTTTTTGAGCTCGTGAAGAAGCATTTTTATCAATTCTAAATTCTGGGGTAACAGACAAACTATGCTGTTCCTCAATCTTGCCGATTAGTCTACCGTGTCTAAAGGCATTCTGATATTTTCTTGTAGCCTTACTGCATTTACAGTCTCACCTTTACTTTTGAAGCATGATGGAAATGTACCTTCCTTTCTACTTTTTAAGTTGCCTTGCACTGTATGCTGATTCCTCATGTTTTATGTGCCCTGACATAGTCTATGGTGCTGATATTTGCACATGCATTTCCTTTCTACTGAGTTGGCTTTTTGTTGTAATGAATGTAAAAGATTTTTTTCAACATTTCATGGTTTTATGTCGAAAAATGAATTTGTTGCACAAGTTTTGCACGTTAGTGTAGTAAAAATGTGCTGTGCGTATTCCTTGAAAACTCATCATATTTTTCAAACAAAACATAACCATCTTTACCTATATGTAAAATATAACAAAATACGATAACTGCTTTAAAAAAATAATTGGTGACCTCAAAATTAATATTCTAAATTTGCTGCTCTCTCCCTAAATTCATCTGTTCTCCCAAATTTGTGATTTTTCTACCTTATGTAATATTACTAACTAACCCATCATACATTAGCTGTGCTTATACATCAAATTTGGTCTATAAATGCCTCTGGCAGTTAATTACATCATTATTCTGCTAGCTTCTATCTTGCTAATATCTCCTCGCTTTGCTTCTCTTCCTAAAATGCTTCCATCTTAATTTTAAGAATCAATGTACATGGCAATTTATCATATTTCATTATAACTGAATCATAGAAATGTCTCAGATTTCATTATTATTGGATAAATATCTATGGAGATGATTTTATATGCATAAAAATAAAGATTGGAAAATTAGTCAAGTTCATGTTTTGTTATCTTCATTGGTAAGTCTTCACTCTCAGCCATGACAACTGCAAGCTAATTCCTCTTCTATGCTTCCTGGAATTATTACATATATATAGGTAAAGGATATGCATTTGGCAGGATGTAAAAATATCAAGTGCTCTTCTTAGTGGAACCACCGAGTTTGTTGACATTTCTTGAGCTCCTGCTAGTGTAAACAGGCTTTTATAAGTTTTAAGTAAAGTACCACTACCAGTTAATTAGTGTTACCCCAAATCTGATCAACTCTGTATAATGAACGTTGAAAGTTTAAATTTGGAAAATAGGAATTTTCAGAAGTTTCATGTAAGAGTTTTCATGGACGAAAAAATCGCCACATTCAGCCATGCAAAGCAGACACACAGACATCATTCTAAAAATAGTAAAAACTGGTTGTGGGGACCCTAATTCGTGCTTATTCACTGAAAACTCACAGTCTAATTTTTAAACTGAAAGAATTACCTTCCTTACTTATACACTGACTACCAATAAGTATTTGGACACCTATGCAAATGACGATATCTGCGGTCCTAAGGTATGTCACGGACTCCGCCGGTATATATCGTGTAGGAAACAGCATCGGCTTTAGTCGCATGCAAGATGCCTCGCAGTTCAGAGCTCTCTGATTTCGAGAAAGGTATAATTATCGGGTATCACAAAATGTGGCCGATCCTTAAGGGACATATCTAGCGATCTGAAGTACCCAAAATCGACAGTGGCCTATGCGATTAAGAAGTGGAAGGTGAGCGGTGATTGTCGGAATGTGCCCCGAGTCGGCAGACCAACGAAACTGAGAGATAGAGACCGACGAGTGCTGTCCAGAGAAATTCGGAACCGCACCCAACCGATGGCCCTCATCCGCGAGGAGTTTCAACAGGCATCCGGGAGTATTGTTTCAATGAATACCATCTGTAAGGAAGCACATCTGCTTGGTTTTCATGGTCGTGCTGCTGCGCATAAGCCTTTGATCAAAAAGTCCAACCATGCTGCTCGGTTAATGTGGTGCAAAGTACATCGAAATTCGACCGTAGATCAGTGGAAACGGGTTCTTTGGAGTGACGAATCAAGTTTCACCCTTTACCGTTCGAATGGCAGGGTCTGGGTCTGGGATCTACCTGGAGAACGTCTCCTGCCAGAATGCATTGTGCCAACAGTCAAGTTCGGCAGAGGTAGAATTATAGTCTGGGGGTGTTTCTCCTGGTATGGGTTGGGACCCTTGGTCCCCATTCATGGTAAGCTCAACTCCGATGCCTACTGCACTATTTTGGATGACAATGTGCTTCCTACGTTGTGGCAGTTTTACGGGTTGGACCCCTGTTACTTTCAGGACGACAATGCCAGTTGTCATGTTTCGACGTTAACCAAGGCTTGGTATGTTACCAATGGAGTTCATCGAATGGACTGGCCTGCGCAGAGTCCAGACCTGAACCCTTTCGAGAACCTCTGGGACGAGTTGCATCGCCGAATTCAGGGGTGCACTACCCGTGCAAAATCGGTGAAGGAACTTCTATGTCTTCTCCAAACCGAGTGGCAGAAAATACCACTAGCTGTCATACAAAGACTTGTGGAAATTATGCCCCGAAGGGTCCACACTGTAATTACCTCTCGTGGAGGCTCTACCAAATATTGATTTTGAATAAAGTTAGTTTTCTTTTCTATCACAGGTGTCCAAATACTTATTGGTAGTCAGTGTATATTTATGTTATTGGGAGGTATTTTTTTAATATAGATGCTTAACTACATTTTAATAAATATTTGGTTTGTAAGCTGATATAAATGCAATTACATAAACAGTTTACACCATTTCTTCTCATTTTAACCAAAAAACAATTTTTTAAATTAAAATTTATAATTCAAAAAGAAATTATTTTAAGTATTTTGATACAAACTGATGTGTTTACTTTTTAAAAGGCTCAAGAATTTTGGTTTGAGGTTTTGTTTGTAAAAATATAATGTTTATGATAAAACATGCTGAGTAGTGTAATACTGAGCTATGGACAAATATTTCCAAGGTAAATGGAAAGGTCAATGGGTTTAAACATAATACTTGTGTTCTTAGAACCCATACTATATCAGTTAATAGTTATGAAACTCTTCAGAGATAACTTTAAAAGTTAGCTCAGAAATGTAGTTTTGGTAATCATTGCTATCGTCAGATATTCATAATAATTAAATAGAGTTATGTAATAAAATACAACTAAAAGTGTTGAGACTTGTTTAGAGTAACCATTTTCTTATTAATTTGCTGATACAGTACAAAGTCCGCAATCCGGACTCGTCGGGACTTCGGTGATTCCGGATTAGGGTTTTTTTTTCGGATTGTAGATCATCAATTTAAATCTGGTAAGATGGCATGCAGAAATTATACAATTAAAAGTATGAAACCGTAATTTATGAAATAAAGAGCAATTATGATCTAAAGGGTATCAAAATTTACAAAAAAAAAAAAAAAAAAAAAAAGCTTAATATTTATTTGTTTACTTTATGGAACATTTCTTTCAGTGTAAGTTTTTTAAGTTGCTTCGTTTTTTGTGCTAATGCTTTCTCTTTAATTCTTTCTTCTATAAACAGACATAATTTCTTATTCAGTTACAAAGTTCCACTATTCAAATCCTGTAATTGCTGTGTCAAGAATACCGACTAACTTGTCAATCAAAATATTTTCGTTTTCAATAACTCCTCTGTCACTTTCTTCACTATCGGAAGTGCACATGTGTAAACGCTTTACACACGTGCGTAGCGGACATGCGCATCAAACGCGCATGCGTAAATGATTTATGCATATGCATAAGTTTGTGGCTTTGAGGTCCGGATTATAGATCATTCCGGATAATGGACGTCCGGATTACAGACTTTGTACTGTATTATACTTGCATAGCGTTTAGGGAATAATTTGATTATATTTGGAAAGAAATTTTGCATTATTAACACTGTGTGTTATTTTACTTGATTTTGATAGATTTTTCACTTTAATGTCTTTGAGATGGAATTTTATGGTGTCACATGCATAAAAAAGGCTGCTATTAGGTGTGTGTTATATGGTGTGTGCTACAGGCGTTATATTGTTTTAAATATTTATTCTACTAGAAAAGGTCTTTCAATCTTTTTTAACAAAAATAAATAAATAAATAAATAAAAACCTTTTATGAAGTCAGTTTAGATACCATTGGTGAAAAGGCTGTGTAAATAAAAATTCCAAATTTTCAATAAGAATTCCATACAGCAAAGGCTGCAGTTATTGGTTACTTAATTTGATTATTAGTTATTAAACATAAAACATTTCATAATTATGCATGCAATATTCATGGAGTGGTTAGCAAGCAAATTTACTGATTGAAATCACTTTCCAATGAATGTTTTTGCCAGTTAAATTTTCTCTAGAATTTCCACAATCTAAGAAGTAACTGTAAAATGATGATTACTCATTAATCATTTTGGTGAGTACAAATGCCATATTAGGTAAAACAACACAAAATATTAAAATTGTAATCAACCGTGAGAAAATATTTATTTCAAATATGTTTTAAATGAGGATAATTTTTTTTTTTTTAAATGAGGATAAAAGTGTAGGAGCTTTTTTGTTCCTCCTAGTAAAGCATAGTTTACCAATTTGGTCATTGGACCTTTGTCCTACGGATGCAATATAAAACATTAGCTTTTGTACTTACATAATCTTCCATCCCAAGTGCGGAAAGTCTTCTAATAAAATTCTGTGTTTTATTATTGTATAAATTTGTGTTTTGAAATGCATTTCTTGCGTCAGAACTCAAAGAAATAAAACCACGTTTTTCAGCCATCCTGTGTGCTTGAAATGCTAATAGTAATTTTTGTGTTATGTAACCTACATTTTTAATGTTACGTTTTTTGAAAATTTCACTTAACATTCTAACTTAGCCGGATATTTTATGCATCTGCAAAACAGAGTTGTGCAATGAAAGCCTATAAACTTGCACGTATGGCATATCAACAAGCAAATCTGTATCGAGTGCCTGAGCGATTTAGGGATTCACTTGAAATAGCAACAATGCATGTCCATGCAAAACCATTTACAGATGCTGAAGTAAGTACACATGGAAATCTAGCCAAATTTGATTCCCTTTTTGCCCTTAACACATGTTAAGCATGGAACAACTAAACTTGTTTTGTGCATATTGTTATTAATACATGAGAAAAAAACTAAACCACTTTTTATGCACATTGTTATGAAAGTGCAGGAGATGGCAAAACTTGTTTTCTACGAATTATCATTGGATTATTATTATTGATGGTTTTTATAGTCACGAAAGCTATTTTTTAACAACTTAATAATTTTTAAACCATGATAGAATAGAAAGTGGTGAAGAATTGTATCCAGATGTTGTATCAAATTATTCCTGAAAGAACGAGCTTACCAATGATGATTCTACTGCTGATAAATTAATACAATGTCCAGAGACTTTTTTCAACCAAGAATTTCAGTCAGTTCAGTTTTAATCTTGTATTTGTGCGATTCTGATTCTGAAGAATGGTTGTTAGTAGACAATTTACCAGTCTTGGAAGTGTTTTTAGGCCACTCAGGAATAAGTACAGAAAATGTTCCAAATAGTGTAGAATATATAGTGTATACCCTACTCAAAAATATCGAATTTATCATTAAAAGCACCATAGAAAAGAGGAACATGAGGAGTAAATCTGCATCGGTGTGTTGTTGGCCAGTCATTGTCCCAATTGCAAGCACATGTAGTTGTGTGCAGTCATTGATCCTGATCCCAGCCCATACCATGATGCTGCATATTGGATATTGGTCTCTTTCCTGGGTATTTTCTTGATAAGCAGTACAACTCTCACACAAGATCAGTTGGCATCTCAGATGAAAGTCTGAAGCTACTCATTTGAGAATATTATGTAAGTCTATTCTTGTTCAGTCCAGTTGTAATATTCAAGACACCATTGCACCAGGCAGTACAATTCAGTCTGAACAATGGGACATACACAGCAGATCTATGACTGTATAGTTTTCCTTAACCCATACTGTGCAGTTTTTGTGAGATCTGCTGCCCTGTAGCAGCAATAAACTCATTCGCCACAGATGAGCTGTGATGCAACAGTTTCTTTTTGCCAATAAAGCAATGTACCTGTCTCTTACAGCCGCTCATCAATACTAGATGCACTGTCAACATTCAGTATTAGAAGAAAAGTATGATTCTCTGGGGGAGAGTTTCCTTGTACATCAGGAAAAATATATCAGAACCCATGTGAGAAGTGCAAGAAAGAGAAATAATTTCTGACTATGTCATATGTTCTGTCTAAAGAAAATACACAGTATATGTGTAAATTTTGCACAAAGGAAGGTTTAACCCTTGTACAAAGGAATGTTCTTTAAAAGATATAACATTTAATTTAATTTAACTTTTAAGAGAAATAAAAGGTGAAGACAATGGACTAAGGCCCCTATAACAAGCACAAGTAAAAACTTCTAAAAGTAGGTATAATTTTTTCATAATGCAACATTTGTTTAAATTCTCAAAATCAAAATTATTAATCATCAAAGCCAAAGGCTTAGAGTGCACTTAAGTACCCGATCTCATTCCTAGCGAAAACCCATTATGAAAGGGAAGAAATATTTCTATTGTTTTAAGAAAGCAATCTGGATGTCAATCAGTCTGGTGTTCCAGCCACTGATTTCAAGTGTGTATTTTATTTTGCCACAAGTGGTTGCGAAAGGGGAGGAGTCCTTTCGTCAAAAGCAAGGAATTCTAAATCAGTAACTTTATTAATCAACTAAGTGAGTAAGTCATAATATTATAATTTCAGGAATTTTGTGCTTAAATGTAAGGATTGTTATATTTAACTATTTAAAGTGCATGCATATTTCATTTATTGGATCTTTGGTTCCATGGGGGGTTACACGAAAATTTATATTTTATTACATACACAACCCATGCCATTCACTATGTAAATGCTGTTTTCATAAAATGATTTGCTTTTGGGGGAACTTTTTAATTGGGTGCATATAGCATCTAGCATTAATATTTAACAAAATAAACTAGTAGACTTTTTTGAAGGCACATTGTTATAAGTAAAGAAATTAAAATAGAGTTTCCTTTTCAAATCTTGTGATGAAACTTTCCAACGAATTGAAGATACACAGTCTGCCTGTAAGATTGCCATCTTTCAAAAGTGAAATCAATGATTTAAACGTGTTTAGAAAAACTGGCTACATATATGTAGAGAACAAACACTGACATATTCAGTTTCATTCTTCTGTGCATTTTATTTTATTCGATCTTGTCACTAGTTGGCATTGAAGTTCAGATGGCTCAAAAAATGGATGAACAGGAATTAAAAAATAGTTCTGCAGAAATGAAAGTACACAAATTTTAATAAATGAGGATTTTTATTTATTAGGGAGATGTTTAGCCATTAAATTTAGCAACCACATTAGTTAGCTAAACTATTACCCTTTTATCAAAAAATTAAAGAACACAGAGAAAGAGAAGTAGAAACCAACAGAAATTTAAAGGGGGGGGATTTTAGCAGGTAATAATTTTTTGCAAAAACTATATTTTTGATGAAATTTGCTTATTAGGCTTCCAATACAAATATATCTTTTCAAGGTTACAGTTTAAGGTTCTCATACATTAAATGCAGGTTTTAAGATTATAAATATGTATTATGAGGATGATTCATGATTTTTTGTCATATTTTTGCATATTTCATATTTTTAATTTCAGTAAATCATGGTATATTATTAACATAATTTCTTTTTTGTATGTTCACCTACTGTGCTGTCTTACTGCTAGTCAGTAACAACTGACTAAAACTAATTGATACTTTATTTCAGACCAGAACTAAGGCCTTCAGTTTGCTTTCTTCTTAAAATTTGTTGCTTTAAATGTATCCAAAGAAAAATTGAGATAATTTCTAACTTTGCAATTTTTCTAATAACAAATCTGTGTTGTTGCCTTCCATCTTAGAGCCTTTAAGCACATGTTTATATTGTTTAATAATTAAGCCAGCTCTGACAAAAATTATCATCATTTGACAATTTACTTTCTATTTTCTTTTCTTTCTTAGAGAGTTGTAAGTCACTAAGATATACTAAGATCCAAGAATTTTCTTTTTTTGTTAGTAACCATTGGTTTTACCAGGATCTAAGAGCTGTAGTTATGTCACTGGTTAGTTTAAATTTCATGTTCTTGAAATATGTAGGAAACAGAATCCCTTTCAATTGTCACCAAATTATTAATATGTACACTCTCACGGTTTCCAATAGAAATTTAGAAATCAAATTTTGTCTTGACTCTTTTCAGTTGTTGTTTCTTGATAATATTCATATTTCATTGCATAATTTCCAAAATACCACTAGTAGAAGCAATGGAATTATATACTTTGGCAGATGGTATGCTTTATAGTACATCCAGTGCTCTTTGTTTAGATTGACCATGGGTAATGAATTTAGAAGGCCTTTGACAGATTTAACTAGTGTATTAGTGCTGCATCTACTAACAGATATTTTGTTATATAGAATATTTTTGAAATATAGAAACTGGATTCTGGACAGGAGCAACCATTATCATTTTTTGTGACTGTATATATATATATAGTTATCCATTGTAAATTTCTGATCTGTGTAGTCTGTTCAATGTAGATTTTGTCCATGTTATCAGTCAAAGCATTAAGAGGAAGTGTAAGATTGATTTATTGAAGAAAACACCATGATAGGAAAACAAATTAAGCAAATATTCAAAAGGAGATTCAAGATGACTGTATGATGAGTAAACAACATAATTAAACATGAAATTACGTGACCAGAACTTAAAAAAAGTGAATTTGGCAAAAAATTTGAGTTCTAACATCTGGTAGGCCCCAAAACTACTTAAACAGCTTAAATGTGAAACTTAAAATATTTTGCATGGATTCTACAGCTTTAGAAAAGGAAAAACTGTTATAAGAATTATTTTAATTGTGTAATTAGTCAAAACAGATGAACAAAAAAGAAAATCAGTTGGATACTTTTTGTTGTCAGACAAGATAGTCAAGCAGTGTTCAATAGAAAGATATAGGTGCCCTTTTTTATACTTTTGAAAGTGCACTCTCATCCTGAATTTGAACTGTGCACTTCTGTTTTAGTTCTCCATTGAAATAACTAACCTAAGAGACATTTTCTATGGTTGGAAAATTTTTACTGCCATGTTTCCTTATGACAGTGCAAATTCAATTGGTCTTCTTACAATCAAAGTTATTTCAGGTATCATTAATTAAAATTTCACACAATCTGTACAATAATGCTAAAGACATCTACTGCTAAGAATGCTAAATTAAGCTCTGTTTGTTTTCAAATGCAAATTTGTAAAAGATTAATCTTTAAAAACCATAGAAAAGTACTAATTAGTGAGCATTGACTCGCATTTCAAATTCTAGATTCAAAGAAAAGAAAATATACTATGTAATTCAATTTGTATGACACCCTGAACTGAAATTTGCATTGCTGCTGAAGGTTTTTGTATAATTCTCGCCTTTTTCTCAGTGTATGTTCTTCCAGGCACCACCAAACAATATTTAGTAAGATCAAATTAAACCTACTAGTTTCAATTTAATTCTTAGAGAACCTGTACAAAAATTTAAATTTCATATATTTTTACGAACATATATCCATTGGCAAAAATTATCACATTTTGAAAGTGCAACACATTTCCTTCTTTTCTTAAACTGAAACCATTGCTCTACAAGAGCCATTTGAATGTAGAACAACCTGTGCTGTAAAAATTTGTTCCAATAAGTGAGCACCAGACAGACAATATTAATATTTATGAAAGTGAATCATTTCATCAAATAAAATAAAGTTTATACTTCTGAGTATGAAATTTCCAGATGAAAACATTAAATATTAACTTTAATGTAAATTTGTACTATAAAATCAAAATTGGAAGGAACATAAATCACTATGATGATTTTGAATATCCTGCATTGTTGACATAATTTAATGGTTCTGAGGATTCAATTGCATCTAATGTTAGATGTAGCTGAAAAGTTTCTACTAATGTACTTACTAGAACTATCTGTTCTCAAAACATTTGGAGTAATAGTAAGAATGCCTAACTATTTTACCTTAGGATGCATTTAAATCTTGTGTCAGTTTTTAATATGAAATTTCATTATAAACTGCCATCTTAATCAGGAGGAAAAAAAAGTATGATTGATTTTATTTAAAATGCGTCTTTTTATGGTCTTCCAATATTTTTTTTTAATTTCTCATTATGAATTCAACTTATGTGGATAGTTATATAAAACAGTTTAAGATTTTTAAACATCTCTAACAAATTAGCATCAAAGCAGAGATGTATTTTCATTTCATTATGAAAAGCAGACTCAATGGCTGCTAATAAAGCCATTTTTCAAGTTTTATGTATAATTAAAGTATCTGGTTAAACAACATTAAATGAAATGTGTTACATTTTTACAACCTAGTATACAAATGCAATTGATCCATTTGGAATACTCTCAGTGTCAGATATGTTATCCTGGTATGTAAACTTACTTTACTTATGTGCAACTGCAACATTTTAATTTCTTTTTTACTGTAATTCTGCTATATATAATTTTATAGAAACAAAAGAAAATGCACTTCATTTCTTAACAAATAATGTACTCGTATTGCTGCCAGTTGTCAGAATTGAAAGTAATTTAGAGCTTATAGTGTAAATAAGCTTCCTAACTCTCTCTTTATAAGTTTTAGAACTGCTCTCAAAAACTAGTTTGGAAGTTTATAAAGGGAAAAAAGATGCAGTTTCAAATTAAAATAATAATAATAATGTAGGTTAATTAGTCATATTAAAGGATATCATCAATTTCCAATGGACTGAGATAAAATTATAAGGTATTTCTCCCGCCTTCTTGGCATGCCATCGTGGTATGGTATTGTTGCATAGTTTATGCTATAAGGAAGAAATGTTACGTTTGTAAAAATTGTTAGAAAAATGTATCAACTTTGAAGATTCCATTGAAGAAACTGATGATGACAGTTATATTCAATTTTTTAGTTCTTATGATACTGACTCAGAAATTGAGATGCATTTGGAAAACGAAAATGATAATGACATTTATTGCTTTATTTATTGTTTTTATTGTGGTGTGGTGGTCTGCACGCAGGCCGTGTACTCCAGAGGACCACGGTTGAATTCCCAGTGAAGGCGTTGCTAATTTTTCATCTCTTCTACTTCTGAAATAAACTTTGACTCTACAGTGGCACCCAAACTAAAAGGGTTGTGGATGATGGATGATTCTCCTCATCCAGTATTTGGCGACTGGGTTCCCTAAAAATCCCAGTTGGTCTATAAAAGGGGGTTACATAAGGTAATTCTCCTGCCTTCTTAGGTGTGGTGGTCTGAACGCTTGCCGTGTATTCCAGAGGTCTGTGGTTCAATTCCCGGCACGAGGCGTTGCTAATTTTTCATCTCTTCTGCTTTCGAAATAAACCTAATGACTCTACAAAATTATTGAAAAATGAACACTTTAATTATGTAAATATTTTAGCTTGGTGATCTCTATTACATGTTTCCTTACATAAAAATTCCTTTGTTCCACATTGAAAAAGTCCATCTGAAATAAACAATATTTACTTTTTGAGATTCATGGTCAGCAAGTGTCAATTAAAACTTACAGCTACAGAAATAAAATTGCACAGACCTATAAAATTAACTTATGAAATCTTTTATAAATCTTTAATTTTATGTAGTTCTGTAGTCAGAAAATTACTGAAATTAGAAAAGTTACAGAAAATTACTCAGTTTTAAAGTATTAAACCTGAGGGATTGTGTAGAGATAAATTGCAGTTTAACTGTTCAAGATCACTTTATATTTCCTTGCTGAGAAGGGTATAAGCTCACCTGAGATGGATTAAATTATGATATTCTGTCATAGATATTTTTCACTGTATGCTTAGTATATGCATGCATGTAATTCTGTAATACAGTACTTCCACATTAAGTTTTTTATTTTTTTCCCTCCTTAGGAAGTATTGCCCATGTGCTATAGGTGTTCTACCAGTAACCCTTTAATTAATAAAAATGGAAATATTTGTTTTAACTGTAAACAGCCTTTAGTATATTCATTCATATCATTTGGTAAGTTATTTTTATTAACATTTTAATAAATTTATTGAATGTTGAAGACGTTGTTGCTCCATAGCTCATTTAACTCAATTTTAATAAAATCATAGCTTTTTTTTTATAGTTCTTATTTTATTTTTTTAAGTTTCAAGGTAAATATTTTGTTTAAAATGCATGTATCAGAGTCTGCTCCCCTCCACAATAAAATGTGTAGAGATCATGATATTATCTGCAAGAATTAATATCTTGTTTTACATACATGAGGGTTTGGCTGGCTGGAAATGTGAGCAACAAATTGTTAAAAACAAAATTTAAATATTTGTGTTGACATTTACAAAAATGTTCCACATTTTTTTCCCTTTTTCCATGTTAAATGTATCACTGCTGTTTTATAAGTTTGCTCATAATATTAATCCGCGAGTGCGGGCGCTGGGTCTAATGGGATCGCCCGATTAAAGAAACCTTTCTGAAAACGCCCCTATTTTTCCCAAGTGGTTGTAGTTCAGTATAGTCTCCTCCAAGGCTATCCTCTTTATATTTCTGAAGTTTTTCACCGGAAATTTGATTTGAAAATTTGTTTTGATTGGATCGGGTCTTTCAGACCCAGAGTGCCTATTCACATTGCTGTAACGTAGCTCATTTGTGGTGGCACAGAAAGCTGCAAACATGTCGTGTAATTTATGCTATAAGGAAGAACTGTTGCGTTTGTAAAAATTATTAGAAAGAAGTATCAACTTTGAAGATTCCATTGAAGAAACTGATGATGAAAGTTATTGAATTTTTAAGTTCTCATGATACTGACTCGAAAATCGAGATGCATTCGGAAAACGAAACTAAGAATGACATTTATTGCTTTATTGGAAAAGAGAAAAAAACCAATGGTCAAAAGAAAAGCTTAAAGCTGATGTTAGAACTCCTGCTCATAATATAATCACTAAATGCCTGGAAACATCAGTAAGGCAAAATATGTGCAGAATCCAAATGAATCGTAGGAACCAGTGGTGTAGCTAGGGTGGGGCAAGGGGGGACATCTGTCCCCGGGCGCAGCATTCAGGGGGGCGCCAAATTGATGTTACAAAATTTTAAAATGAAATGTTTTCCATTCTTGGTACAGAGAAAGGGGCGCAAAATCTTCAGTTGTCCCCGGGCGCTGAAAACCCTAGCTACGCCTCTGGTAGGAACTTTTACTAAGTGAACAAATGGTTGCTGAAAGTCATCAGTTATACAAATATTTATATTTCATCTATTACTGACAGCATTCAATGAGAGAGAGAGATGCTCGTCACACAACTCAAATTGAAATTCACACTTATAAATCTTTTATATTTTTATGACATAAGTCATATCATGTAAATGTGCAGGATCTGCAGACGGAACCGACCTGGAAATTCTCCACGATACTGTCCTATGAACGTTTTCTTTTTTTATCAAGATTTTTTGTTTTGATGGCATGGGACTTGCGTCGTCAAGAAAGAATTAGATAAACTTGCACCTATAAGAGAGTTTTTGAAGATTTTGTGAATGATTGCCAGAAATATTACACTGTCGGTGAGTTCATAACAATTGATGAAAAACTAGAAGCTTTCCGATGAAGATGTTCTTTCAAGCAGTATAATCTTAATAAACCTGAATAATAATATAATGAATTCCTAATAAATTCTATATTAATATAATACGTTTTTCTGTTCCTTTAAAAAATTATTTAATAAAAAATATTACAGAAATTAAAATTATTAAGATTTTAATTTTATAATTGGCATATATTTTAAGTTTGATCAAAATATTTTGGTATTAATGTAACACTTTTACCAGAGGAGAACATTTTTTTCTTCAAAAAAACACGAGCCGGGTCATGTAACTCAAAAGAGCATTCATACTCCCGGGTTAAATTTGAAACATTTGTTTAATGATATTAATTAAGCAACATTTGTTTTCAGATATGAGATTATTAGTGGGTATGTTACTTTTGTATAATTTTGAATTCATTATTCTAAACTTAATGTTTAATTTCTTAATTTATGATGTGGAATGAAAAGATGAAACTTTTATTGTATGAATTTAATATTTTCCCCTTTAGATAAATATAAATTAATATCAATGCTCAAAATGAGTGCTTATTTTGGCCTTTAGTTTTGGGAATGGGAGACTCGGGTCTTAAAAACTGTGTTCAGAAACAAAAATTCACAAAGCATATTTTAAAATATTAGTTGTGTAAACATAGTTTTCAATTATTCACCAAAGAATGAACTGTAATTTCAGCATGTGAATTACATGTGAAATCCTATTTTAAGCTATTATAAAACTGCTGTATATTTCTCCTATTAAATATATAAATTTTTGTTTTTATTAGAACTGATTAAATTGCCAGTATTTGTTTTGGAATGATTCTGCAGTATTATTCTGGTATTCAGATAAACTGTATTTAACTTTCATTAAGTTCCTCAGTAAAAAAAATTTCACATCGTTAATTTCTTTAACTGTAATTTTGTATTTCTGACTTTTAATGCTTAAAAGCCTGAAGTCATGAGATCCATAATTAAAAACAGATTGTTTTTAATTTTCAGCAATATAATGAAATCTTGAGTCATGGTTTTAATGAACTGTGTTCTGAAGGGATGGCTGTCCCAAAATTCCGTTATGTAGCTCATAATTGTGCCGACCCACTGTGTTATTGCCTTGGAGGCCCACCAGCAGTCAAGTGGCAAAACTGTGAAACTCTATTAGTTTGACCCGGGTTCAAATCCTAACAAATGGGCCAGCTGCTGAACTTTCAGGGTTTTCCCATGCACAATGTGAATATTAGCCAGTTTCCTTTAAAATGGTCTGTGCAGGCATCCTTTCCCTTGAGCAGATAGCCCTGATATCTTTACGATAATCTGAATAGCCCTTCAAAAATAACCCTTCCCTGGAATTCCCTTCCTCCTTGGAAAGAACAGGGTTCATGAATGATGGATATAATTTATCTGCTAGAATGTCTGCATAGTATCTATCTGTCAATAATTTCTCTAAAAACACTGAAACTTGAACGCCTAAGCATGTCCCTTATCAGGATAGAGCTACTTCTAACCCATCTTTGTGAAAGAGCAGAAAATTTGAATTACTGCTCTGACTTCATTTTCTTCCCACCCATTTTCGGTATCTTCAGAGTCTTTTCTTTCACTGAGCTCTGTGATGATGGGTAAACAAGGATTAAGATAAGAGTGAATTTTTCAGTTGCCCATATCTTATAGAAATTTTTATTTATTTATTTTTTTTTATTATTATTATTATTTTCAGTCCAAAGCATGTTGTTTTTGAAGTGAAATTCACATTGATTTCTTGCATTGCAACCTATTTGAGATTTCTCCTTGTTAATTGCATGTCAGTTGGTTCACTGGCTTACATGAGTGGAAATGCAGGTAAAACTTATAGCTGCATGATTCCTGAAACTGCATGTTCTGCCCTTTTAGTACCAACTATTATAGTTTTACATTGGAAACAAATCGCAGTAGGAAGTTTGTGCTGAATGAACAACTACTCTGAAATGTTTGTTGATTTTTTAGACTACTGAAACCTTTCCCTCATTTTGTACTTTTGTACCCAACTCATGGATTATGTGCACCATGTTCCAGTTGTATTTTAACTGCAATTCTCATGACTTCGGCCACTCGGCTTGTTTATCAGAATAAATAATTCGTTGCAGTTTTCAATAGAATAATATTTTTATGTGTATTTACAATTTTTTCTTTTTCAGAAGTTTTGCCAGTTGTTGAATTTTTCCTTGAAAATGGCATTACGGATGATGAAGCTTATAAGTTATTGTGTAGGAAGCCGAACTTAGCTCCTGATAATACAATGAAAATTGAAGAAGGTTTTCTTTTAGATAGTCTTTATTACATTTCTGTATATTATTACATGCGTTTCAAAGTTATTATTTGTGTGTTTAGACAAAAAATATATTTGAAACTTTTTTTCAGCTTAATGTTAAATTTTTCATTACTTAAATACATAAGTCAAAGAACAGGTTTATAACTCTTTAATACCTCACAATTGTTTAACACAGCAGAAGACTACAATTACACTGATTCATGAAATCTCCCATGTTTCCCAGATAGCAGCAATGAAGTACAGATAACTTAGGCAAGATCAGAAAACAATCAGCAACAGATTTTATCATTGAGTATTGAAGCAGGTTACCGTATTCTATTCTTTATATCTCTTATTATGATTACTGGTTAAATATTTTTGCCAAAGTTGCTGAATTTTTACTAATGACTGAAGATTAATATGCATTGTTGTAAGTGAGTAAGATTGCAGTAATTGGAATGTTGATGCATATTCATTAATGGAACAGCAGCCAAAATGTGCACAAGTATGCTAATGATAGTTACTTTATACCACATTCCACACCAGATATTGCAGTTCATTATTATTTGAACTAAATCTGTTTTTTATCCATGGTAGCTGGATTATATGATTTGCAGTTGGGATATGATGAAGAATTTGCCATTAAATTCTTTCAGGAAAATGAATTTGTTCAGATAATTGCAAGATGAAGCTACATTTTACTATTAATGCAACAGTGCTGTAGCCAATAATTATCAAGGCCTGCTTTACAAAATTGGATGCCAGGTTCAACAGCTGTTAAGGAGGCCTCCTTTCCTCTAATTTGTTCTTTGCAGTAGATGTTTCCTTTAGAGTATTTTGTGAAATAGCCTTATAAATGAATACTTTTTCAAAGGTAAACAAAAAATGTAACTTTCACTTTTTGATACATTTTGTTTCATGGTTTAGATCATTGTACAAAATATGAACTTAACACATTTTAAACCAGGATCTCAATATTTTCCTGAAAGAAACTGAAAAAAAAAAAAAAAATCTAAGGAATTCATATGGATTTTGTAACAAACCATTTTAAATGACCAAAATAGTGCAGTTAAATTGTTTGCCAATTTAATGATCAAAGATAACAGAATATAAAACCAAACAATTTATTTTCTTTCAAACAATGAAAAAATAATTTCTGATGAATCATTATGTAATATTTAAGACTTAACCATTTTAAAAATTAATTTTCAAATTGTTTAAAAAATCATGTCATCTTGTTCATTATAAATCTTAATTTAAAAGTTAGCCATTTTAAATGAAAAACTTTGTGATTCTTATTATATGTATTTCTTTGTAGTTAGTCATTGATTCAAATAAAAAAGAGGCTTGAAGGAGGTAAATATTCTAAGTTAATTTTAAAATGTAAACTTTAAATAAACTTGAAAGTTTATAATTGCATCTTGGTTTTATTTAATGATATCTCTGGTCAAGAAAAGTGGGAGAGAAAGGCCCAGTATCTGATTTTTAAAGAACGGCATGAAAAACTCAAATATGAGTTTTTACATTGTATTTCTGCTTCTAATTTTATCTAGCTTCAAAATCAAGAAATTAAATATATATATATATAATTTTGCATGTTTAACTACTGTGGAAGGATTTGAAAACATCTTTGAAATTGGAGTCTTCAGGGCATGTGCCACACTTGTCCATGCAGAAAACAGACACTGAAGATCACGAGAAGTTAAGAAAGGACTGAATCCAAAATTGCTTCAATGGAATTATTCCCTTTGTGAAACTTTTTAATATTTTTTCAAATATTTATGTATGATTATATTTTCAAACAATAATGCATCTTGAGTGTTTTATTAGAACTGCCATTAATATTTCAGGTTGTATTCCATGCTAACATTTATATTTGGCAATGACTGCTGTCTTGTTAACTGTAAGTGACACTAATTGCTAATGAGCCGGCCACTTCACAGAATACATGGGACATAATGATTATAGCCTCTAGTCATGTCTAATCTAACCTCGTTAATGAAAAGATACCATAATTTTTAACTTTTGTTGACTAGAAATAAAAAAATACTTTTTTGTCATATCAAAATATTAACTTCTAAATATTATTTACAAGAAAATTACAAATTTATGAAATAAATGAATATAGGAGGTAAAAATTGTGTAGCTGATCAAGAAGATTAACTATTTATAATTTGGGAGGATATTATTCTCTAGTTATAACCTGAAATCTAAAATCTCCCAAATCCATTCACTCCAAACTATGCAGATTTCTGATCTGCTACTGCATTTAGTAGTACTGGTGTTAATTTTTTAGTTTGTGACATATTTTAGTGCTTAGATTTCACTGTTAGTGAGTTAAATTCAGAATTTACAAAAGTGTAAACTATTCTTCTGTAATAAAAAAATTATAATTTTGAATCATCCAAAAAATGTTTTCTTATGGATCTGCTATCATGACCAAAGCATACTGTTTCTTGCTACAGCTAATTTTCAGTTTTGTCACTTTTCAGTAATGATGCAGATAAAGCAACGTTTATCTAAGCATAATGCAGCAATTAATTTGAATAAATGAAATACCTCCAAACCCCGACTATGTGGCAAATCAGTATTAGTGTAATTGAAGTAATTTTCAGTTTATTACTAGCAATTTTTTTAAATGAATAAGAGTCATTTTTAATAGGTTGTGCGTCATTTTTTTTGCCTCATTATATCTCCACTTATGTAGGCTGATTTTTAAAAAAATCTTGGACTGGTTTTAAGTATAAGAGAAAAATGTAAAAACAAGCTGTTTTTGCATAGAAACACGTAACTTCAAAATATCTTCTGAATATTCTAGAAGTACAGCAAAACTAAAAGATTTCAACTAATGTAATACTGTGTGCTTATTCAGCATACGTGCATTTGCAGTTTCTGAGGATTTGCTCAAAATTCATTCCATTACCAATACATGCTTCATAATATTGATGCATTGGACTACTGAATGTATTCAAAAGTGCTAGGCCTTTAGTGCACCTGTTTCTCTACAGCTTATTTGAAGTCCCTGTGAAAGGCTGCTCTTATGTACCAGACTTTTGGAGTACATGTGCAAAAGATGTAACTCTTCCTTTCATCGTATTGGCTATATGTTGAATTGAGATACACCAATGTGAGGCAAACTAACTTGTGTATTTTTATAAAGATTACATTCAGTTTTGGTGTTCGGTTGCTTTCGGGGTAGATGAGCATATCATTTACTGTAAATCATAGTGACTCATGGTTCCAGTCTCATGCTAGCTCTGGGTTATTATACAGATGTTTGGTGATAAGGCATGCATCTATTTGTGAACTGCTCAAGATTTATTTACATGGCAACTCAGTCATTTCCATTTGCTGTTCGATAACTGAAGTCCATTGTAATATTTTGTTATTTAACAAATAACTATGTATAATATTGAAGTGGCAATGCCATATTTGTATGATGTAACCGTTGCTCAGCAATGTAAGAAATTGGTTAAAATTAGAATTCTGAAGTTTTACCAGCTAGCAGATGTATGAAAATTTGTAGCTAAAGAATTGTTTTCAAATTATCTGTCTCCATAAACTAAAAATAAAATTTATGTTTCACTAAGATGATCATCTTTTATTTTGTCAATTACTGCAAAATACATTACAGCATATCAGTCACTGTTAATATTTTAATAATGTTACCTGCATCTGCAAAAACAGTGAATCATATGATAGTGACTAATGCTGCCCAAACTAATTTGTGTCAAACAATACCCTTTAATGAGCATAAGTAGTATTTTTGGCTTCATGTTTGTATGTAAAATTAGTTTATTATTGTAATCCTGATGTTTATGTAAAGCTTACCTAAGATCTTTTGAATCGTTCTGTAAACAAATCAGTGGTTCTAAAGTGTTGTGAGTGATAATTTCAAAATAGCAGAAAATTCAAGTATTTCTTCTTTGCTAACTAGTCTTAATTTTCTTCCAGCTTTATAAATTTCATGTTGTTCATGGCGATTTATTTTTGAAGTTTGCTCACAGGACTTTTCTCAATGTACAAATAATATATTACTGCAGTTGTATTATCATAGCTATTCTTTGCATAAACTATGAAATAAATTTAATTCTTTAATTAAATTGTGTGACAACTTAAATGTAAAAAAAATTAATACCCTCATGATAATTAATTTAAAAATACTATATCTATGAATATCCTTTGCACTTTTATTATTTGTTTGTATACTTCTACTTGGATTTTAGTTATAATTTTATCTTCAGCATGCAGCTATGTCAAAATCATGCCTGTACTTTTAAGGGTATATTTTTTCTGCTTTTATTTATGTTTTCTTGGGGTATTTTTAGTATATATATGCACATTGTTAATGTGTACAACAGTACTTTTTGTGAGTTTCTCTTGAAAGCTCTGTTGTGAAATTTAAATGCATGGATAATAGTATTTTATATTTACTTAAGATTACATTTGTATATTTTATTTTTTCGGTAATTAGACATTCAGTACTTGAAACTGGACTATAATGATCCATTTGAGAGAGACTCTGAAGCTGATTCAAGCATGTTTTCATATGATGTAAGATTTTGAATTTTTTCTTTAAAATATCGCATTCTATTTTGAGCCTTATAACTTTCACTGCAAGTATTGAGGGTTGTTGATTTTGTGTCTTTCTTGAATCATTCTTGTATTGATTGTATTAATTTGTGTTAGGTTTCTGAAGGTAAAAGTTCAGATATAAGATAATAGTTGATATAATGCAGTAAAGGTGTGTGTATATCTGTATGAAAACAACACACACACACATGCACACACATATATATTCAGTAAGCTCCAAGTTACTGTAGGCAAATTAACTGGCCTTTCTGTAAAAGAAACTAAGATTGTTTGCATAGAATGACAGAAAAGTTACTATCATAAACCTTCAGAATAAGCAAATTTCCAGAATACAAAAAAGTAAATTATTAAATAACAGCGTGATAGCGTTGTGCACAAATTAGGAATTTTTTGTCCACAAAAAAAGGTTATCTCTTCGTTGATCCTAAAATGCAGCATAGAATTGAGAGATTTTTTTTTTTTTATTTGAAATATGTTTTTGGTTTATTCACTGTAGGTTATATTTATTTTAACTAACATTTATTTTAAGTTTAAACTATCTTTCCTGTCAAGCCTTACTTTCCCCTGGAACTGCCAATGCCAGCAGAATATGTAAATTTGAGTAGAACGCGCAAGGATTCAAATTATCAGCGGAAGTATTATGATTTAAATAGAAGGAAACGAGTTCGGTGAGAGTGAGTTATTCTTACTTAGCGAGCGCGGAGGTAGTTATCGAGAATTGAAGAACCCCGCGTTTGCGGCCTATGTGCTTGGCGGGAAGTAGTTTGCAATTGTTCCAGTGAGCTTCAAGTCTGCTGAATTAGCAGCGGTATTGTAAAACGCGGTGAGTTAGTTATTTTAGAGAGCCTCGTAGTTAGAATCTTGTCTTTACTTTCTTTTCAGGTTATTATTTTTATTTTGACTGCCGAGTTGGCACCGTTTGTAAGCGTCAAGAGCACGCAATTGTAATTTATTACGTTGAATGAATAAAAAGGGACTTAAACCCTTTACAAGACTCTGTGGTTTATACAAGCTTTCACAGTCACCTCTTGGTTGCGTGCAAGTTGGAGGCGCGCAACGTTATATTGGCGCCCGAACACTTATCGAACTGAAATGGCCGAAAAAACTGGATGGAAGCCGCTGGACAACACCAAGAAATGACAACGCAGTTAGAAGGATTTGGATACCTGGTCCAGACTTTGAGAGCATCAATCAAGCCAAACGTCTATTTCGACGGAAAAAATTCGGTGTCCGTATTTTTTAGAAGGTATAGAAAACCACTTTCAGCTCTACCCTGTGCCTGAAAGACAAAAAGTTGCCATCGCCACATCAGCACTAAGAGGACAGGCCGCGCTATGGTGGAAAAATATAGGCAAATTTCTTCTAGGTGAATTTGGAAGCCCGACGTATACATTTGAAAATTTCAAAAAATCGTTAGTAAAGGCCTTCCCCATAGTGAAAGATCGCGCACGGCTGGAAGCCGAAGCTATATAGTTTCTATCAACGGGATACAGCACAATTGACGGACTTTATTTTACGAAAAATCAAGCTAACGGATATGCTGTATGGGAAAGAAAAAACCCGATGCGGAGATTATTGAAATAATATTACCAAGATTGTTACCCGCTGTTCCAAGACTACTTTGAAATTAGAAACCCAAACCACATTGCAGGAACTTTTCGAATTGGCGGTGAAGTTTCAAAATCGCAGAATAGCGGAAAAGAGCGAGAGGGGAAACATATTCTCAAAGTACCCGAAGGAAAGGAAGGAGGAAACCAGAAATGGAAATCGCTCATATGGGGGAAAGAACTATCAAGCTAACGCATCGAAACTCGAAGGTCAAGGCCCAAAAAGAAAATTTGAAAATAAGCATCCGCGTACCCAGAAGACACAGATTGAAAGGAAAGCTTTAAACGACTAGAGGGGCCTGTGAAAGGGAGGGTCCAGACCCCGGAAGTTTTAAAAAAACCCTCAAATAGACATTTAAATACACGGTCATCGTAAAAAACTCACAGCTACCAATTATACAAGTCCTGGTTGGCGATGTACCAGTAGAAGCCCTCATCGATACAGGAGCAGAAGGAAATTTTCATGAGTGAAAAGTTCTTCAAAAAGAATTTTTATAGGATACGACTATTTAAAACCAGAAATACGGAAATTATAGCGGCGCAAGGAAAAACATGTCACTGCATCGGGAAATTATCATTAAACTTACAGGTAAAAGAGGAAAATCTCAAAGTATTAATTTTTTGTGGTGAAACACCTGCAACACTCTCTTATTTTAGGTATGGACTTTTTAAGGGCCGCGAGGGCCAAATTAAATTTTCAAGATAGTTCCGTGGTGCTGGAGATGGACCAGAGGGTGGTGGTGGAACCTGTGGAGACACCTGAATTGGACCTTAGCCATTTGAATGACCATGAAAGTAAAGCAATACAGCAAGTGGTGAGTAATTTTTCTCATTTGTTTTCAGAAAAACCAGGAAACTGTCAGATCGTGACTCACAAGATTCAATTAAATGCCGAAAAAACCTTGTAGGACTAAACCTTATCGCTATGATAAACAAAAAGACGTAATCATCGAAGAACATATTCAGGAGATGTTAAAGAATAAAATAATAACGCCCATAAATAGTGAGTACGCGAGTCCAGTCGTACTATGTAGGAAAAAGAACGAGTTTCCTCCTTCGGATAAAAGGGCTTGGAGGTTTGCTATCGATTACAGAAAACTAAATAGTATTAACTAAATTTCCAGTTTACCCTTTGCCGGTTATAGACGAGATCATTAGACAGATCAAATCGACAAGATATATGTCTACTTTGGACTTAACGTCTGGCTACTATCAAATAGCTATGAGACCCGAAGATATACATAAAACCGCGTTTATAACAAAATCGGGCACTTATGCATTTTTACGCATGCCTCCCTTTGGGTTGTGTGGGGCCCCATCAACATTCCAGAGAGCTATGGACATTGTTCTAAAGCCTGTCCTAGGAAAATCAACTTTAATTTATCTAGATGATATAATTATAACGAGTAGTACGTTGGAACAACACATTAATGACCTCGAACAAGTTTTTAAATTATTAAAAGAGGCCGGTCTTACAATTAACGCCTCAAAATGCAAGTTCGCAACTAAAGAACTTAAATATCTCGGTTATAAAATTTCGCAAAAGGGTATAGAAACGCAAGATTCAAAAATAAAAGCTATTAAGAATTTCCCACCGCCCAACACCGCCAAGAAACTTTCGTCTTTCCTTGGATTATGTTCTTACTATCGATCTTTCATAAAAGATTTCGCTAATATTGTTGAACCACTCTTAGTAATCAAAAGAAAAAAGAGTAAATTTACGTGGACAGCGGAAGCTAACACAGCTTTTGAAAGATTAAAAGAAGCGCTTATTAATGCCCCTGTTTTAAAATTCCCTGAGGGGGACGAAAACCTGGAAATTGCGGCAGATGCGTCAGACTATGCGGTGGGTGCGGTTCTTATGCAAAATAACCATCCGCTGGCATTTTTTAGTAAAACATTGAATCAGACACAAAGGAATTATACAGCTACAGAAAGAGAAACATTAGCCGTATTAATGGCTGTACACAAATTTCGAGTTTATTTCGGCAAATCGCCAGTAACAGTCTTTTCGGATCATGCGGCTGTTGGTAGACTTTACTCGGGAAAAAACCTAACGCCCAGGTTAATAAGATGGGCTTTAAAACTCCAAGAATATAATATCACAATAAAATATAAACCGGGTAAGGAAAACAATGTAGCTGACGCACTTTCTCGTATAAAACTGGACGATGAAGGAAATGAACTTAAATGCGCTGTGTTGACTTCAAAAATTTTAGATTCTAGAGATACGGTTATTACTGAACTGAAAGCTGATCCTGAATTTGGAAATATCTATGCTTATTTGAAAGACCCCGAAAGCTTTGAGCACACAGATATCGATGCGATAAGAAATAGAGCAAAAAACTATGAAATAATAGATAATTTATTATTCTATACGAAAACAACAAACGAAAATCTTGAGTATAAGCCAGTCATCCCAGCCTCGCTTCGATTAAGCATTTTGAAGGAGTTGCACGAAAAAAAAAACAGCGGGCCACCTAGGGGTCAGAAAGACTTTAAAAAGGGTACGCGAGGCGGTATATTTCCCGCAATTATACAAAATAGTAACGGCGTATGTCAGGTCCTGCAATCAATGTCAGTTAATAAATGATATTAATTACAGCCCGGCCGGGTACTTAAATAGCATTCGCGCTACATTTCCGAATGAAATTTTAGGCATAGATCTCCTTGGTCCCTTCCCCCAGAGCGAGTTAAATAAAAATCGTTTTCTTTTAGTAATAGTAGATCATTTTTCAAAATGGATAGAAATTGTTCCACTTAAACGCGCGTCAGCCAAAACAGTCGCAGATGCATTCTTACACAGATACATTTTAAAATACGGTGCACCGATAAAAGTCATTAGCGATAACGGAAAACAATTCATTAGTCAAATATTTGAAAACATATGCAATGGACTTGGCATACGCCATATCAAAATGGTTCCGTATAGACCACACAGGCTAACATAGCAGAAAGAGTTAATAAAAAAAACATTGTAAAAATAATTCGCAGTTACGTTAGCACACATCACAAGCGCTGGGATGGCTACATAAATGAATTAGCTTATGCTTTAAGAACGGCACATCATGATACTACGGGAAAAACTCCAGCAGAATTATTTTTAGGCAGAAAGTTAATTACGCCTTTAGATAAATTATTCTTTGTGCAACAAAGAGAGCAGGAATTTAAACAAAAGATGTGCAAAAGCTGATTGATCAGGCGCTTAAAACCTCGGATACGGCAAGAAAAAAGAAAGGCAGAAATTTATTATGATAGAAAACGCCGTGAAGCAGATTTTAAAGTTGGGGATAAAGTATTGAAAAGCGGAAATTTTCTTTATCAAGTGCCCCAGACAATTTTATGGCAAAGCTA